GGGGTGACCTTACCCTACCATTCGACGCTGGGTTACCTGATCGTTGTTCATTACAATCAACTAATGCAATTGTCTATCATTTCCCGTGCCTTTTAAAAACGTTTTCCTTGTTCATTCTATTCCTTCTGGTATATTCGTTTCATCCTTGCCGATTGTGTTTGGAAAGACCAAAGACACCGCCCTTAAACATTGATAAACTTTTCTCTCTCCGTCTAGCCAGTGCAAAGGCAATTTGCACATACAAAGACCACTACACATGAATTATATGTATTTGATAACAATTACAAAAATAATAGCATATATATAAACGTATATACATACATATACGACCTACTTGTGAAACAGAATTATGATGGAAGTTCATTTATACATAGACCAAATAATGAAACGTTCCAGTGGGCAAACAATTCACAATCACGATTATGTTGGAAGTAAGTATATAAACAGTGACGAACTTCAGAAGTATTAAAGAACCCACTGGCTAGTTGATATCACCTATACATGTATATCCTAATTATGTGATTATGTGTAACCTTACCACGTCAGACGGACCCCATGCATAAATTATCCCATTTGTTTCTCTATGTTTAGCAACTTAAAGGGGAAGAACATAATAAGTAATCTCAGAGAACAAACCGTAATGGGCCTGCGTAGTAAACACAACACATTGTACAAACGAATGCTTTATAAACAACGGTGGGTCCTTTGTTACCTTTGGTCCTGTAAAATGGGATCGTCCATTGAATTAAATCGCTAGCTTGGAATAAACCAAAGGATTGAACATGTCTACGTTTATCAAAAAATACTTTAAAATATACATTCATATATTAATGCTTCGAACTATGAATGAGATACTTACGTGTCAAGCGCATCGTCCTGTTCTTTGAAGGCAGACTCTGAATGACGTCATGTTGCATAAATAGAGCAACCAATGCTAGCAGCACATAAACACTGTTCGCCATGGTTAGCTTTTATGAAATGACAACGCGTTCCTGTCTTGAAGAGTTATACAGGAGTTACCTGGAAGAGGTAACGCCCACCTAATCATTGAGCCAATAATGTGGCCTCATTCAGTTATAATACACGTTCCTTGATTAAATGTCTTTGTCATTTAAATCAAATTTATTCATAAAAACAAGCTAAGATGAAACAGTTAGCTTGGCTAACGACAGCAATATCTAGTCAATTACAAAATAAAAATGAGAAATGTTCCATCATTTGTAGTGACGTGTACATGATAATGGTTAAGAAGGACTTTGTCTGGCTTCAGTAGATACACGTAACCTTTACTTAGGATGCGTTCGACACGACAGTGATCGACTATACAAAATCTGACTTTAAATTAATGTATGGCTGGTCTACGTTTACGTTTGTGTTGTTGTGTCCAACTCCCCTTTACACAATCATTTTATATTAGTACGCNGGGGGGGGGGGGGGGGGTTACGGGTATTAACTCCCCTTTTAGGGGGAGGGATGACCTTGACCTAGTTATGCCTGGAATGTATGACGCGATAAAAATGAGGGAAGATGCAATGTATGACGCAATAAAGGGGAGGGATGATGCAATTATGACACAATAAAGGGGAGGTAGAAGGGAGGGTATGCATGGAATGTATGAGGTTAAAAGTCTGTGGATGACGTAAGGTCTTACCTCTCATTTTAGTGGAGAGGTAGAAGGAATGTGTGGCGGTAAGACGCAAGACTGGAGACGCATCGCGTTAACAATAGCCGTGATACTTTGGAATGTAAACCCTTAAGGAGACTGGTTCATTTACGACAGTCCGTTCTAAATAAAAAAAAAAATCCACCATAAACAAGTCACAACATGTAGACGTAAGGCGCTACCTCCCCCCTTTTTTATCTATTGTAAGACTGGACATGTCCACGGTAAAGCCGACATGGAGTCGACATTGTGTGGAAATATACAAGGAAGACATCAGAGGTCTCCACTAATGGCTCATGAGATCATCAATCGTATAGCCAGAGAAGATCTCACTCTGCCAAATATATCACATTCGACATAAGGTGCTATTTGAGTATTTCACAAAACCTGATTGCCAGAAGGTGCTATCTACTACTGTTACCCTGTCAAAAGGTGCTATGTCACAGATAGCACCTTCTGGCCGAACAGTTTGCAACCTGAAACGCAGGTATTAGGTTCCAGTTAGCCCCTTCTGACACATGACAAATAGGTAATTACAGATAATAACAAAGGTGAAGTTAGTGTTACTAATGAAACAATATAAAATTAATGGGAGCTTCTTGGTATGGCACAGACGACCGACATTGTTTGCATATTTGGAAGAACATTTAGTTTAACTCTGTTCGAAAATGTCCTCTCAGTGCATAACAATACGTCTGAAATTCTGACAAATTAATGGTGTAAAACAAGGCAAACACTTTCATGGCTGTTTCACATTTAGACTATATTACAAAGAACATGACAATGATACATGCTCAACAAAGATTGTCCCTCTAGATAAAAAATGTGTTTTTACCTCACAAAATATATACCAATGAAATATCGCATTTGTTTAACTCGAATCCGTACATCTACACATTCTTTGGCTGTGGAAGTTGGAAGGTATAATAATATACCTAGAGAACGTAGATATTGTAAACAGTGTAACTCCCCCTCTGAAGTAGAGGACGAATTTCATTTTTTATTAGTCAGTTCTTAATTCCAAAATCTCAGATCACGTTTTATCAAAAGCTATTATTGGAAAAAACCATCTGTGTTTAAAGCCGTTTAGTTATTGAGTGTCCATAATATTAAAGAATTGTGTATACTAGGAAAATTTATCTATGAGGCAAACAAATTAAGGGCATTATAATGGAATATGATTCTCTGTACATTGTCCATGATTTTTGTATAATATGTATTGTATACTGATGGGCCAATGGCCAAAAGTACGAATAAAACTTGAAACTAAGATCTTTCCCTCAGAAAATACAGTGATCCAACGTACCCGATTATAAAGGCAACATGTATGAATTCATTTCTACAAAACAACTGGTAAATGAATCTGCTCCTGATTCTGATTCATTGCCGTCTGTAACAAGCAGTGACGAAACTGACAATAATCTTCTGATGGACTGGTAGCATGGAAACAACAAAATAACAGCAAAAAAGACAGGAAAACTAACAGGAAAACTATTTACGGTAGCAGTGATTCCTAAACAGTCTTATCTGAAATCGATTAAAGAATGAAGAAAAGCATAAAAGAAAAACAAAGAAAGAAAACTTTTCTAGCAATTCACCAGCGAAGGTTGGTCGTTCTTTTAAAAAGCCATGGATTACAAAGGCAGGATATTGCAAAGAATAGCAGTTGCCTCTTTCAAGCAATTTCAACTCAACTGAAAAGGAGCAAAACTCACAAAACTCTTAGAAAAGAAACTGCTTACTACTTGGAATGGAACACAATGAAACTTGTGTCACCCTTACAATAGAAGATGCACAACATAGACCAAATGTGAATTTGACAGCTTTTGAAGTTACCCCAAAGAAAGGGAAAAGTGAACCAAAAATCCTGAAACATATAACACCACGAAAACAAGAAATTATTTCAACACCACCAAAGAAATTACTCGCACATAAATGGTGTTAAATAAAAACTCTAAACGTAAACTAAAACTGGAAAACTGGAAAAAAAATATAAAGAAAAAATTAGAGACAAAAAGGACAGGAATGTCTTAGTACTACATTTTTTTTAAAAAGAGAGACGTACAGGAACACGACTACAGCAAATGCAGATTTCATCTCATATATCTGAAGAAGAAAGACAGGAACATTTTAATTCATATTGGAATTTACAGTCGAATGACCGACAACGTGATTTCATTTGTGAACATGTACTTACGTGAAAAACCAAATGATTATAGACTGTATTGTGCATTCAAAAAGAAAGTATCAGGGTCAGTTTTTGACAGGAAAAGCCGAAAAAGTCCACACAATAGGACCCAAGAGACTGACAACGACTCTGTTAGACAACACATCAAGCTATTTCCGATAGTTGAATCACACTACACCAGAAAAGATTCCAAGACGAAATAATTGAGTATTGACTTGACAATAAATAACATGTATCCCCTATATAAAGAAATGGAAAGGAAAAAACACCAAAGAGTTGTTTCTGCCAGTGTACCGAAATATATTTTGCAACGAGTACAATCTGTCCTTTCGTACACCAAAAAGGGACCAATGCAACATCTGCAATTAATATTCACAGAAAGGACCAATAGGAACAGTAGATGTCTGTTTCAAATACAAATATCAACAACACCAACAACGCAAATAAGAGGTAAGAAATGAAAAGGAATTGGACAAGACAGAAGAAGAAAAGAGTTTCATGTGCCCACATTTGATGTGTAATCCGTTTTAACTACAACTTGTTCACTTGTTAATCAGGCATACTACAAGAGAAAACTGTGTTATTATAACCTGCCTGTCCATTCACTTGATGTAGAGTATTATCTATGGAATAAAACAGAGGTCAAAAGGGGAAGCTGTCTTTAATTATACCTGATCCCTTTACCAAATGCAGTTTAGCATGTATCCTTGTTACTTGATACCTGCAGAGGTCAGAACAAGAACAAGTTTATTCCAACTGCATTGTTTAACTCTGTGTCTTCGAGCGCGACCACAAAGACTATGGATCAGTGGTTTCTTGAACCCCGACACACCCGGATGGAGTGCAATAATATGCATTCAGCAATTGAATTTGCAAAGAAGCATACGTCAGTTTTGGTTACAAGTCAATATGATACTGTAGTTCACATGGGAATGCGTTCAACTCCATACTCTGTCATATACCTATGAAGCATTGGTATTTTTTGGATATTAAGAACATTTCAAAATCGTACACCACAAACATCATTCTTGATGACAAATGACAGCAGGTTCTACTGAAGGATATTAAACATAAACAACATACAAAAGAACAACGTGGGATAATCAAATTAAAGGCATGTCCTTAAATCTTCCTTCAGAACGATGAAGTGTGTGCCAGCTTCTCGGAGAGACAACATTGGGTGATCGATGACTTGCCTTTGCCAAAACGATACACAGAAAGGCTTCCAATTACAGACATAAAGGAAGGATCTTCGTTGTTTTTATTCATCGCATCTCATTCCTGAGGAGTACTAGCGATTTTATGAAATGTTCCCAAAATCGAAAAAAATAAAGGATAAATTACCTGAATCTGATGTCATCGAATTTAACATTGACAGGGATGATGAATAGAATGAAAAGACATCTAAAAGTCTAAAAAATATTCCTTCATAGATGATCACGATAACAAACTTATTAATTATCTTGATGCTTAAGAAAACAATTTAAAACATGCTATGATTCACAGAATAAAAAGAAAGAGATATTCTTCCCGCAATAACATGAGAAAAAAATAACCTCAAATCATAAATGATGTTTGTGTACATGTTCTGAAGGTAATTTAGCAGTGAAACATTTGAAACTTTCATCTTATCTTCATCTTGCCGATCTGATTAAATTGTTAAATTAAGGAACTAACAGGTTCAATAAGAATTTTTGAAAAATGAAATTTGCTTCAGATGAAAATTAACCCCATCCCCCGCCAACACCAACCTACTCCTTCTCAACTGATTCATAGTCTTGGGGCACATTGGTTATTAAATTATAAAAATATTCATGGTGAAAACGATATTTTAAAGGGTTAATTAAAAACGTATTTAATCAAATTGGTTTTAGAATTGTAAAAATATTGATCTGATGAAAATATAAGAGATGAAATAAAAATAATGAACCGTCTTTGCTGTGATTCGAACTCAGTTCAGAGGCCTTGTGATTGTTATGAGATAAGACGTCACGTGGTCATTCTCCAACGCATGTACACGTGTTGAACAGAAGGTCCTCGTGTTGAAAAATGGATTACGACTCTGACAGTATCCTAAGTCATATGTTGGATTCGTATGAGGGTTAAATTTA